CAGTTGCTTGAAAATGAACTTTTCCACACAGTTAAGAGATGTATAATTCATAAAAATACAGAATTATATAGTAAGTGTATAATTACTTGTCTGGCCAACTCTCCTGACACAGAATATAATTTTTCAGGGGAGGCTTCTTTTTAATTATATATAAATATAAAGTTCAGTGAAAAGGGAAAACCATAAGTTTACCTAATAATGACAATTTCTGGACTTGCTGCTAACGGCAGGAAATGAAATCTACAGTTAAAGTTCTCTAAAATATCAATTCAGTGCTAAACAGTAATTTGCAAAAATGAACATATTGCATAAATCCCTGGTGACCCTTATCCTTTGAATTCTATGGGCTCTCCAGGCTTCCTCATCTAAAGATGGAAATAAAATTAGAAAGAAAGGCATGAAGAAAGTCACTGAAGACCAAATTTGGGCCTTTTGGGCCAGCAGGACCATGGTTGCTATTGCATGTAGGAAATACACACACTACCAAAGTCAAAATTCCAGACAAACAATTCTCATTAAACTCATCCAAGTTATTTTAAACTAATTAATCTACCTAGTGATTCATATCCTGCCTTACAGGCTATGCCAAAGTTAACTCCAGTCGTTAGCATATCAAGATAGGGAACCAAAAGGAGAAATACACTATTTCTGTGTTTCCCAAGGTTTTGAGGCATTCAAAAGAATTACAGAATCACTGCTTGTGCTGAAAGCCTGTGTTGTGATGGAGCACTACCCACTGTTGATTTTTACACAGTAAGAGGTAACACAAACAAGAAGCAGAAAGGCAAGGCAGAAGCAATATTAAGAAATACAGAAAGTCAGGAGCTCTAATTGTCCTCCCTCCTGTGCCAGTGCAGCTCAAGAGTACTGTCATTCACAGGGTTTCAACAAAATTACATTCAGCATGGAAGGAAAAAGAATTCAAATGGGTGACTGGAACATGCCTGACTGAGCTAACCATGAGCTCCTGCCCTGTAAATTGAGCACCTCTCTGCAGTCTAGCAAGAATCTGTGGACATTTAAGGTCCTTACAGAATGGGGAAGTCAAGGTGGAAATGCCATTAATGTGCAGTAAACCTGTCATTCTCTTCCTGGTTCTCTGAATCCTTCTGAGGATAGCCAGACCTGCACCTGAAAGCATCATATGAAATGACAACAATGCAAAAGACTCCTGTTTCTAAGTGTCCATGTAAGTAAAAGAATATCTGTTCAAAACGTTTGGAAAATATTTCAAATAATTTCTTAATCATGTGATTTTTATATTTTCTCTTATTGCTAGTATTTTCATGAAAGCAAATCTTTCAAGATTCACTTTAAGGACAACATAATCTCTACATCAAAGAATTCAAAAATTTTTCCAAGAAATCTTTTTTGCTATGTGCATACTAAGAACTGACAGATACATACCCAGTGTATCTCAAATGCAACAAGAAATAAAATGAACTTCCTATAACTGATCCAGAATAATTCAAAAGTTACTGACTCTGCTTTTAGGATTTTATTCATAGCTCTTTACAATTAACAAGTAGATACTTAAGTATCCAATCTGTTTAATTTCTAAAATTAAACTTGTCCATATAATAATATTTTCTCCAAAACTTCTGTAATTTAAAATGAACTCAGAGAAATTATTACGAAGCTCCTGAATTTTACCAGAAATAAAGACATAAAAAGAGACTTTATAGCTCTGAGAACAATGCAGTCAGTCATATTGCTTTGCATTATTATTATCATTAGGTTAATCTTGAATTCTCCACGTAGAGCAGTGCATTCCAAACCATCTCCCTTCTCAGGGCTGACAGTACCAACTTTGTGTTCAGCATCTGAACATCAAGAGCATCATTTTCCAGTTGGGTTTTTGCCACGTTATCTCCCTTAAGATTGAAGTCACACAGCTAAAATTTCACAAGGTGCTTTAAAAATTACCCACATTTTCAGTGACCTTTGCTGCAATAAAGGGCAATAAGGATGTAAACTGTAAAAAAAAACCAAATCACACAACTCTGACTCACATGTGAAACTTCTGTTGAGGCACAGATCCTCTTAATTTAGTGCTGAGCTCTTCACGCCAGTTTTATACCAGTTTGGGACACCAGTGGAGGCACACTACCTTTCCTTGGTCTTAATGTCCTGTTCTTGCTCACACCATGAGGATAATTCCCTGGTCTCAGAATAGCAAGTTAATATCAAATCCCAGTAACACAGGTATCACCACCAAAAAATATTTCATGTCACCATTTTGATGCAGAACTGATTACTTCACTGCTATGCAAAAAACTACTAACAGAAGACATTGTTCCTGTTATATATATGATACATATCCATACATTAAAACCAAATTACATGGTAAGATACCACAGGAATTAGTACCATTAGCAATTAGTCCATCCATGGCCCAAGAAGTAGAAGACAGCACCCTGGATAAATGAGCAGAGGCAGAAACTTCTGCCTCCTACTGATGAAATTTGAGCAGATTTCCCCCCTGCTCAGATGCTGATGATATGGCCTGGGCAGGTGCAGCTTTGCTGGGAGCCCAATCAATCAACAAAGACACAAACAACTGAGAATTACAACTATTTCTGCTTAGAGCAGCTAAGGGAGCAACAAGCAACCTGAAAATCAGTGTCACAGTTAGGCACAGCTAGGGCAACTGGAAAGGTTTCTATTCAACAACATCCTCTTCCCCCAATTATTTTTAATGCTGGCAGCCCCTAGGCATTATACCTCACTGGCCATGACTTGTAGCAGTGGTGCTGTCCTCTGAGCCTTCCCATTTTTCACTTTATTCTGAGTTTGCACAGAGATATTTCACCTGCCACACAACCCCTGCTGAATCAGTTTCCCACAGGGAGATGTACTGAAGGCTTTGAAATTAAAATTCTTGCCATGTCATTTGGGAGACATTGAACAAAAGTACCATCTCTTGTCATCCCATGCTCCAGCCGACACTGCAGGCAGAATTGCCATGTATGAAAACCCTTTAGGTCTGTGTGTGTGGCTTTTACCCTGCCACCAGTCATCCACAGCCTGTGCCTTGCCAGATACATCCTTCAAACTGTTGGTAGTATTGAGTGCCTAGATTGTGTGAGAGCAGTCACAGGAAGAAGATTATCCATCTATATTTATAGGTCTGATTCCATATATTTTCCTTCTATGACTGTATTTAAAAAACATTAAAAATGAGGTAGTACAATATTGTAAAATAATGAAAATCATAAAATGCAAATAATAAAAAATGTTCACCATCAAAATATGAGATATTTAGCCCCATGTCAGAAATAGAACCCTCTCTTGTAGGTTGAACTTGTAATGATGAAAGAGTGAAATAGAGAGGACATGACTTTTAAACTTTTGTTCCTACAAGAGAATTATTATTTGCCCATAATGAATTAGACTGAGATATCCAAGTTAGCCTGATATACACTACCAAAATTTCACGAAAATGAGTGTTTGAATTACAGTTGTAACTTCCCTTTTCCCTTCTCCTTCACTGAATCAGGACTATATATTTAATTTTCTCACTAAACAGGAGTCAAACTGTAGCCAGTTTGCACAGTTTGGCTACAGACAAGTTAAGAAGTTGTCCCTTAGTTGACCATCACAGCAGGGTCTCCCTTCACCCTCACCTGCCTCCTCTTCAGCCTCACTGGCACATGCCCCATGCTCACTCCCCAACCCAGTTCTGTCAAAATGTTTTGTTTTGGGTTTAAGAACTGACTACTGAAAGTGTTTAAGCTAACCCAGATCATTCTGACAGAACCAGGCTGGTGAACTCCATGTGCTGTAATGCTGGCAAAGCTGAGGAGGCAGTAAATTATGAGGACTGGAAAAGAGGGCAAGCAAAATGCAAAGAGAACATGAATCACCTGCAGTCAAACAATGCACCTGGCTGCAGCTCAGTAATGTGCTCACTCTTGGGCTGTGCTACTCATCTCCACCCAGATTTCAATAAACTGCTGAAAACAAGCTTCTGGAATTGCCCAGCTCCCTGCAGGTTTCCATGAGAACACAGGACCCAGTAGGTCATCTGCACTGCTGACAGTGGGTACCAGATGGAATTCCATTTTGGCTTTTTGATTTTCCAGCTCTGCCTCCATCTCCTGGTTGAAAGGAAGGAGTTTTGGTTTCTGTGTGGTGCTGTGTTGAGAATGGCACTTGGCAGGGTGAATCCTCAATGTGAAAGGCTGAGCACACAACCTGACTAAACTTCACAAAGGCTGAAGACAAAGCTCTGAGTCAGGTTGTGCACACAACAACTGAACTGAAGCCTCATTTTATTTGAGCACATTAGGAAGAATCTTGTGGGAGTGGAACCACTGCTGAATGGTTTTCCCAGCAAGCAGCTTGTTAAGATGAGTAGAAGTTAATAGCCAGTACTAAAAGGAAGCAAGCAGGACAGGCCAGAGCAGAGCTGAGAGAAAGGCCATTGGGGAGAGCTGCCCTACAGGCCAGGTAAGGGCTGCTTTCACAGCCAAAAGAAAGCAGAGAGCAGGAGAAAAGCCCTTTGTGCTGCTCCATGGTGAGCTAGTCTAAAAGCCAGCTCTTTCACCCAGCATGCTCCCCTCACATGTTTCATCCCTGCTACACATACATGGCTCTGGAGCTGGAGGCAAGAGCTGGAAGACATTAAAATATAATAAAAAAATTTTTTTTCCACACTGAAAATAAAATATTGAAGCCACTGTGGAAACATTCTTCTCATAAAATTCTAGAACATTCATTAAGCCCAGAGAGGCCTCCAGTCCTGTGTAGAAGTTTTAAGTGATTACGCTGAGAGAGATTTGGGGTCAAACCTATAAAAAACACATATTTAAACTCTAGAAGTAGACTAGACTCCATCACAAAAATAAAAAATACTGCTGGAAGACCAGGCAGGAAATGCACCTGCTAGATCTCCACAGAGTTCAGTGGGGCTGTTGGAAGGAGACACTGGCAATTCTCAGTCCCATTGGCAGGGCAGGGAAAAAATAAAAAAATTTAAATTACAGGAATCACCTTACCACTTCTGGAAGCACCCTCTTCGCAAGATCATGGATGGCTTTGATCACAATACATATAGATGACAGCAGGAATATGACACCCAAGATAACACAAGCCCTGGGGAAAAGAAAAAGAGAAAAATACAAAGAAGTGTTAAGAACATATTTAAAGCCGCCAACTCTTCCAGGGTTACAGAGGGTGAGAGAATATTAATAATAAAATTGTCTTAAGGAGCTAGAGATAGAGGTTTAAATCAAAGAACAGAATGAAACATCCAGTTCCTCTCCCATTCTTAAAACCTGGATTATGTATGAGAAGACAGGCCATACCAGATGATGCTCCTTTTTCCTCATGTTTCAGAGAGAAAGACCTGCCACTTCTGCTCCTGGTGATTTATCACAGAGTCCTCTGGGGCAGGACTGTTTCTCTGTGTTCATTTGTTTTGCTAGGATGTCCCATTAGAAATAATGAAGGGAACTTCATTCTCTTTACCCAGCCAGCAGAGATATTTGGTAAATGTGGTCAGTAGCATAACAGAACCTGGAACAGCTGTTTCCTCCCCAGTCAGGCGTGATGTGACTCGGGAGCTGGTCCACAAAAGCTGGCTGACTTGCCTAAGGCCCCTTGCTAAGCCAGTGACTGCTTGACATAAGATACATGAACTTCCTCCAAGGATATGCTGACATTTTATCTGACAGCCCCTCTCAAAGAAAAGCTTTTCTATCCCCCTCAACAGGTTTAAACCAACGCAGCCCCAAATTGTGAGCTGGACACTATGGATCCTACTTCTTGTGGCAATACCTACCATGGGATGCCTGCTGAATGCATCTTCCTTTTCCCTCAGCACAGCTTCTATTCCCTGCACACTTCTGGGGAAGACAGGCAAACATCCCCTAATGGAATGCCCTGACCACTGGCTGGATTTTGTTCCCACATAAATAGAGAGGTTGGGGTTATCTCTGTGGACTTGCCAAACACCCAAGTCTAACAGCAAATATTTTGCAAATTTGCCAGCAGATACACAACAGCTTCAGCAATCTTGATCTGTTTCTCTTATTCTCCAGCTCAGTTTTACTGTGGCAAAAGAATTCCTATCCACCTACTTACCCAGAAATAGCTAAAGTAGATAGAAGAAAAGGAAGATGATAACAACAGTGACAAGGGTATTGACAGCAGAAAGAAATGCAGGCTAAGGTTTGAATAAGTATTCAGTAGCCATATTTAGCCAGCCTAGCTTCTCCTTTATATATTGGCTTTTGGAATCCACAGCCATGCAAAATTCATGAGTATAGTACTTCAAACAAAAAAAATAGATGGTTTTTGCCTTCTTGAGCATATTGATTTATCTGCAAAACCACCAAAACACAACACTCCACTGTATCTTCTTTTAATCTCATTTGCTAGAAAGAAATAATTTCTAACTAGCCTGCAAATCATGCAAAATTCAACTACAAATGCAAAAAATAACAAACCTCCTAAAATTAATCTGAGAAACTGTAGTACATAATAAACAAGCTGCAATTGCTTATTGTAAGCATGCTCTACTTTCACTGTACTAGACCACAAAAATTTTAATACAAGCCAGATCACTTCCATCTGCTAACAATCACTGCTGTGTAACTAAAGAGTGTTTCCAACTGCACACGAAGGGTGTTAGTGCCAAGGTGCTTGGCAAATGCAATTTCATTAATAACATTCAATTAATTAGATGAGCAAACTGCCATTTCTAAACAGGTTTAAATCAACTCAGAAGTACCTATAAAAACTAGTGAAAGAGGAGTGATACAGAAGTGAGGGTAGACTGACAGCCCTGATAGCTTTGTCCTAACCCTGGACTCACATCTCCAGAACCTCTTGAAGATCATGTCCTTATTTTGCAGCCATTTCTACCTGAGTTAGTGTCAGAGGTTCCCACTAAGTATCTACTAAATAGTTACAATTATAATTGATCTGTAAAGCAAAATAATTGATTGCTACAGGTTTGACAGGCAGCAGAAAAGCTCTAATGAAGAATGCATGAATCTGGAATCTTCTCCATCTCCTGTAATATATTGCTTCTACAAAGAAGGAGGAAGAGAGAAAATTCAGAGTCAAAACATTTAAAAACATAGTTTAAAAGTTTTATTTGGTTTTCAGAAACAATAAGCTTTCTGGAATCTTTCAGAATGCTGTATAGTTTGAAGAATAAAAGACTAATTCACAAAGAACAAGGTGAGGGCATCTATCTGATATTCAGGCAACAACCAACTTTTAATTCAACTTTCAAAGTTGGGTTTGGGGGTTTTTTTTGGTTGGGTTTTTTTTTTGTTGGTTTTTTTGTTGGTTTTGGGGTTTTTTGGGGGTTTTTTTGTTTGCTTGTTTTTTTGGTTTTTTTTCCTTAAAGCAATGGCATTTGGAATGCAAGAGTAATGAAAACTACAAGAGAATTTAATATTACAGATTTAACAGTGAAACCATCAAGTCTTCTTTAGTTTGCTATAGGTGTTGGTAGCTTATCATGATCTACCCAAGATACTTCTTGATGTGTTTTTGAGGCAGTATTTGTATGTGAAAATCCAGAAGATTTTAGACAATATGAAGACGATATGAAGACAGTATGAAGTGTAATTCATTGTATTAGAAGTTACCTCATCATTTCTGTCAAATTTTCAGTATTATTTTGTCACAGAGGAAACACTCTGTTAAATTGGTTGTACTGCAGCCTCAGGCATTGAGAGTGAAATCATTTAGACTCTCAAAACCATCAAAGACTTTATACAGCTTTGGAGCTTATGTCCCTGCTAGATCATTCCTAGTGGAATTCAGACACCTGTATAAATCTTAAAAACAAAAGCTCGATTCTGGGAGTGCTACATCTTGACAATTTTCAAAAGATGTTTTCTTGAAAGCAGCATTATAACCCACATACAACCCATTTATATTTATACAGCCCTATAAATACCCATTTTGTACTACAGCAGCCCTGGATATTTCACACCCATCAGAAGCAGATGAGTGTAACTGCATTACAGCACACACAGCTGCCACCTCACCTCTTCCATCACATATTCCCTGTGTGGAGTTCTAATAGACACAATTCCTCATTTTGATGACAAATTCTCAAAACTCATAAGGAAACCAGAAAAGGAAATCAATCACTGTAAGCATGCGATATTCTTCTCCTTAATCAAAAATTTGTTGCTTTGCATAAGTCAATGGCTTTTAAGCAGGTAGCTATGAAAAGTACTGAGATTCAGGGGCTTCCATCTCCACAAACTCAATTTTCAAGCTGCTATTAGTACGTTAGCACTTTTCCCCCTCATTTTATGATAGAATGAATTTCCTAAGGAAAGTAACTCCAACGATCTAATTCATTTGCATTTAGCAGATGCAGCAGAACAGCCTCCTAATTCATGAATTTAGCCTTAATTCTATCTCATAGTTAGCAATTCTTTGGTATAATTCCTTACAGATAGTGATAAGACTAAAATTCTGTAATGTTGCCAACATAGAATAAGAGATTAATCTCAATCAGATTTCTATGGTGATTAATCTTCAACGTAATGAAGGAATTTTACCTTTAGCATGGTCTTGCCACACTAAACACCCTTTCCATGAGTTGACTCCTTTCCTCCAGGTAAGCAGCAGTCAGATTGATGTAAGACTGCAGATTTAGATTCTCAGCTACTTGTTTGGTAACATTTTATAAAAAATAAATCGATAATAGCAATGAAATTACAAATATGTTCTGAGTAACGGGCTCTGCCATAAACTACCTCAAAATCAGGGAAAATCTGACTGGAAATTGAGTCTTTCTTATATCCACTAACTGCTATGAAGCAGCCAATGCAAAAATTTTCCCTTCTCAATTATCATCCTTTTCTCTTTCTGGAAAATCTTTACAGCAGCACAGTACCAATGAGGGTTTGCAATGAAGCCCATGGTAATTACTCCTCTCAAGCCAATCTGCTCTCATGCAGCAAAGGTGCTACAGCAGAACTAAGGATTCAGAAAAGAATTAGTGATGCATATGAACACAATCTGCAAAAATGTGCTTTCTCCTAGTAGCTCACAGGGAGTCGTTTTGGGGCAGTGGGGAGGGAAAAGGGTCTCATGTGCTTGATGGTTTGTCTATTACAGCCTGGAAACTATTTTACCACCACGCTTCAAGTTCATTAAACTAATGGCTGAAACATGATGACACCATGTGGAATAAAACAAGTTTGTCAAGGGCAGTCTAATTACTTTCCAGTTTTGTTCTATTTTCCCACCTGTTTCATTCATTGCAGCATCCCAGATTAGTTAACCTGTTTTGATTGTATGGGATATTTTGGGGTGGGGCTGGGGGAGTTAATTACTTTACCAAAGCAAAGAGGCTCACAGAACAACAGAAGAGTCTGGGATGGAAGGAACCTCCAAATGTCATCTGGTCCAACCTTTCATGGCAAAGGAGTGCCTAGATGAGATTCTCTAGCCCCCTGTCCAACTGCATCTTGGAAACTTCCCACAACGACTCTGCCACATCCCTGGGGAGGTTGTTCCAGTGATTGATTGTTCTCACTCTAAAAACTTGCCTTTCTGGTATCAAGATTACTTGCCTTATTCATGGAAAACATTTTGATCATTTTAGCTGAGCTACAAGGGTAAACATGACAAAAAGAACTGGAAAAAAAAATCATTGTATAAACCACTAGGATTTGTATTCATATTCTTGAGATAGAAATTCTATTCTCACATTTCCAAAGCTGCCATCTAAACAAGCTTCTGTCCCTCATCCAATTCTCTGGGAGCCACAATGCTGTAAATAAAAGACAATACTTCTAATTTCTACATGTATTCTGGTTATCCTGCAAGAGCTGGTTTACTCTATTCTAATTCTGCATTTCCCTGATTGTTAAGAATCTTACCACATTATATTTTCCTAAGAGAAATGAGATTTCCACTATGGGTTAATAGTGGAATATTTTCTCAAAAAGGCTGTGGATTCTCCATCCTTTGAAGTTGTAGAGACCTGACTGGATGAAGTTTTGAGTGCCCTATTCTGATCTCACAGATCACTCTGCTCTGAGCAAGAACCCGTGCCAGAGACCTCCTGAGGCCCCTTCCAACCTGCAGTATCCTGTGAACCTATTCATTTT